CGCCCCGCACCAGCCGAGGGAGGTCGTGGTGGGCGAGCGGAAGCCAAGACGGGACCCCGGAAGTGCTCGGCAATCTCTGATTGCATCTCATCATCCGTGCAAGTGCGGGCTGCTATGTTCCCGGTGGAGGTCGATCCCAAAACAATGCCGCTCCCTTCCTCCGGCGCCGGACCTGCCCTGTAATCTGCTCGGTAATCGTTGTTATGACCACCCTCCCCCTCTGTGTGCTGATCCGGCTCCAAATTCACAGGATCCTCCGCGACCAGCAGACGGCCCTGCGTCCTGTCATACTCATTCAATTTCTTCAGGGCAGGTCCTCTCTCGCTTCACCAGTATCGGACTTCCTCAACTTCTGCCCTCGGTCCACCCATTTCCAAACATCGGACTTCCTCAGCAGTTCCTCTCTCGCTTCACCAGTATCGGGCACGGATGGTGCCCGATTAGCCGCCATGGTCGTCAAAAAAGATGATGGAAGAAGAAGGGATGGGTGATGGTGGTAAGAAGAAGAAGAAGAAGAAGAAGAAGAAGAAGAAGAAGAAGGGGTGGCTGTTGAGTGCCCTGCGAATTTCCAAATTAAAAAAAAAAAAACCGAAGTGGGGCATTGTGGGGGTGGGTGATGGTGGAGGGGGGAAGAAGATGAAGAAGAAGAAGAAGAAGAAGAAGGCGTGGCTGTTGAGTGCCCTGCGAATTTCCGAATTAAAAAGAAAAAACCGAAGTGGGGGTGGGTGATGGTGGAGGGAAGAAGAAGAAGAAGAAGAAGGGGTGGCTGTTGAGTGCCCTACGAATTTCCGAATTAAAAAACAAAACAAAACGAAATGGGGGTGGGTGATGGTGGGGGAAAGAAGAAGAAGAAAAAGAAGGGGTGAATGATGAGGGAGAGAAGAAGAAGAAGAAGAAGAAGAAGGGGTGAATGATGAGGGAGAGAAGAAGAAGAAGAAGAATTAGGGTTAAGCTGTTGCTACAGCACTTGTAAGAAGAAGGAGTGGCTGTTGGGCGGTCTACGAATTTCCGGGAAAAAAAAACATAAAGCAAAACAAAGTGGGGGTGGGTGATGGTGGGGGGAAGAAGAAGAACAAGAAGAAGAAGATGGCGTGGATGATTAGGGAGGAGGAGGAGAAGAAGACGAAGAAGAAGAAGAAGAAAGAAAATGGGGTGTTTGATGAGTGCCCTGCGAATTTCCGAAATAAAAAAACCAAGTGGGGGTGGGTGATGCTGTGAAGAAGAAGAAGAAGCTGCCTGTCTCTCACTGCTTCTGTAGTGCTGTTACACACACGCAGACTGACTGGAGAAGGCTGAAAGCTGCAGCCTTTCTTGAATGGTGGAGCTCACTCTCTCTCTCTCTCTGCAAGTTTCTTGCTTGCACCTCATCCCATCCACGCTGCACATGTCTCCCTCCCAAGCACAGCAGCTCACACTCACGGCTGCCCACACTAACGGCTGCCCGCAATGCCACCGTGAGAGAGTGAGAACATTGTGGGCAGCCACAGTCTTAATAGCCCGGACGACCGTGGGAACGTCGGTGCCGACCCACGGCCTTCCAAGCCACGCGGCGAACGGCCGACCACCCCTCGACCAGCCCAGACCCCAAAAACGGGGCCTTTGCAGTTCAGGCCGCTGGCGCGGAAAAGTGCTGCACCACGACTGCAGCCGACATGTCGGCGCCGACCGACCAACCGGTCGGCGGGTCGGCGGCCGAGTAATGTAAATGAATGTTTTCCCGGTATAGCTGGATGCACACTCTAATCTTACGATTAGAGGGGACACCTTTGGCCGTGTTTTGTTAGAGCCCGGCCGGATCTATCTAATCCTGTTTGCTCCCCATGCTTTCGCACCTGAGCGTCAGTAGAGACCCAGAAAGCTGCCTTCGCTTTTGGTGTTCCTTCTAATATCTATGAATTTGATCTCTACACTAGAAATTCCACTTTCCTCTATCTTACTCCAGTGAACCGGTTTTGAAGGCATTCCACCAGTTGAGCTGGCGACTTTCACGGCTTCACGCCTAATTGGGGCGCCGACGGTCGGCGCGTGCAACACTGCTTGTGACAACATGTTTTCCTCTTTCATTTCCTACTGTTTTTCAAAACTTTCATGCTTGCCGGGGACGAGTAACCGGACTGGTGCCTTTTTTTATTATTCTTCTTCTTTTGAAACAACTGCAAGGAACCTGACTGTTCACAGCTTGCTTGAGAGCATCACACCACATGCACACATGTCATCACACGTATAAAGTGGTCTCACACAAAACCGGATTGAGATGAGAAATGAACCAAGTAGCGCAGCTTATATTAACAATGTCACTTAATACAAAGAGTTTCACGAGTTCCAGAATTCAGCGCCAACAAAAGATAGTCTCCCTCATCATACAACAGCCTGGGATCTGGCTCAGCCAGCATCCTTCTTCGGATTTCAGATATGGCGCCAACAGGTAAGTGTTCAGCATATCCAGATTCACTTCCTGTCTTCTCTCCCTCTCTGATCTCTTCTCTCTTTCTCTAGAACTATGTCTTGGTTCTCTATTTCTCTCTGCATGCACACTCTCACCTACGAAGATCTACTTTGAATGTCACTCACTGCTATCTACTGACTAACTCTCTCTACTACTAACATGAGCTGGCGCAGCTATGACTTCCCTGCAGCCAGCGCCCAGCCTCCCTTCTTTCTGGCGCAGCTCTACTTCAGCCAGCTAGCGCACAAGTGCCGCAGCACTTCCACGCATCAATGCCAGTGGAAATCTGTGATGTGTGGAGGCAGTCTTCGTTTCTTATAGTGCTGGCCTCCCCAAACGAGGGCTGAATCTTGTCTGTCTTGGGTCCTTTCCCAGTCCCACCCTCTGTGTAGGTGTCCCAGACCTTTTTCCTTCAAGGGTTGCTGCTGCTACGGCCTTCAGGCCTTGATTTTGGACTCCTAATCTAAATCTAGACTTCCTTTCTGACTTGAATCCGAACTGGGACTGAACTCTTTCACTTCCTTCTAGACAGACACATCTTTTGCACGAACAGACATCCTTACTGCACGAACAGACACAGTGACTGCACGTACAGACACATCTCTGCATGAATAAACATGACTGGCACATCCCCTGGATGAACAGATGTGACCCAAATATTTAGATTTGGCAACTGTTCGTCCAGGGGCACAACTGTGACCTTTGACAATGTCTTTTGCTTTAGTTTAGAATGTGACCTTTGACCCAGAGAACATGTCCTTTGATCTGCTTTCACGAATTGGGCTCTGGGCGAGGTACCCCAATATGCTGCTTTCATCGAACAGGGGCTGCATCAGGTAAAGGCCCTTTTACAACTATACCTCTTCTATTCTGGGGGGCGACAGTCCGGTTGCTTATCACCGGCAAGCGTGTTCTTAGAATCGAGAAGAGGGGGGAAAGAGACGAGAAGAGGGGACCAGCCTAACCCTTGTGGCCCTAGCCGTCTTGCAAGGGGGGGACTGCTACTGGGCGTCCCGCCTCCCATCCCATGGTCTTTTTATGGGGCTGGCCTGGTGATCGGGAAGCTTACTACCAGCACCCAGTCATGCAGCAGGGCAATCTCCAGAACGGGGAGGCCCCCGGGGGGCGTCCATAGCAGTTCCTCAGGCAACATGTCATGCTGCCATCACCATGTTCCTGCCTCCTACATTGTTTTGTTGGCATTTTCCAGTTCGATTGTCTTTCTTTTGTGTGTATTGTTAAGTAGCAGATTAAGTGTTTGAAATGCGAGGCTCCAGGCCTTGGCAGGCCTCCATGGGGGGCCGCCAAGAAAATTCAGGCCAGGCCCTGAGTGAATGCCAGTGCAGAAAAAGGGTCCTGCCAGCCAGCCCTAAGTGAAGGCTTGCGTGAGGTGGTTGGATGGAAGGCTGGGCACAGCCTCTCCAACAGGAGGTGCAGTTTATCCTCCCAGTTACTTGCAAAGGCTGAGGCCCAGGTACCCAGTCCGGAAAGTTCTCAGACTGGAAAGAGTCCAGTCTCGTCTAGGCAGTCACGACCCCAGGAAGCAGCAAAAGGAACCCACAGCATTCCACATTTCCATAAGCAGCGACGGGATGGCTGCTCCTCTCAGCGGCAGCCATAGCTGTGCTGAGGTTGGAGAAGGGTGGCACTGCGGCTGGGGTGGTCAGGGGAGAAGGACAGCGGTGGGAACAGGCAGGCTTCCCTGGCCATGGCCAAAGATCACACTCGTGGTGGTCAGACTTTGCAGCATTGTTTGGCGAGAGGAGAGTGGTCGGCCAGGAGAGAGCGGCAGCCATAGCTGTGCTGAGGTTGGAGAAGGGTGGCACTGGGGCTGGGGTGGTCAGGGAGAAGGACAGCGGTGGGAACAGGTGGGCTTCCCTGGCCATGGCCAAAGATCACACTCGTTGTGGTCAGACTTTGCAGCATTGTTTGGCGAGAGGAGTGGTTGGCCAGGAGAGAGTGAGAGAGAAGTAGGCTTTGTTTAGAGAGTGAGTAGGAGAGCTGTCTAGGCGGTCACATCATTGGAGAGCTACTACATTGTGGTTGTACTGATGAGTGGAGGCGGCGGGTGGTAACCCGTAATATTAAGGGATCCTTCAGGGTTTGAACTCACGACCTTCGTTTGTGATTGTGTTTGTGTGCTGCTTATAGCAAAGTACGTTCAACGCGAATCATGGCTGCCTGTTTCGTTACGTGATATATATAGCTGTCTGTTGTTGTCTCATAGAGCATGTTGGGTATGTATTATCAGCAATGCCGCTGTCATAGTTTTCTTTGTGAGTTGGGTTCTCTATTATGGAGTAGACTAACACCTTGGGATGTAAGTATGTTTTCCTGCACCTCTGTACCCTCTTTTACCCTCTGCTTCACATTGAACGGCCTCTCTCTTCATCAACTCTCCATACGAGCTTTTTCCCACGGTTTCTTTTCTCTTTGTCCCAGTTCTGTATGCCAGTCGGTTCAAAGATGATGTCTCAAGGCTGCCGCACTTTGAAGAAAGAAAAAAAATCATATCACAAATCTCGTTCTATTGCGTCTCTCCTGGAATTTGCAGGGCAGGATGCAGGCACTGGACGCAGAGGTCAGAAACCTGAAGCAGCAACTGGAGGCAAGCAAGGAGGAAACAACAAGGACTGGAGTAGCAGTTGCCTACCAAATTGATGAAATGATGAGCAATGCAAGACAAGCAGAGGAGCCGTTGGAGGGACAATACAGCTTTTTGCAGGTAATTCAGGGACACCCATCAGTCACCAAGAGCCTGGTCGCCATGCTCTCCCGTGGAAACCCAATAAACCGCTGAGTGGAGGATGGTGTGCGGATGGGTGATTTATCTGTGTGTGCAAGCATGTGTGAAGTACTACTTAAGCACATCGAGAGGGGAAGATCGTTCTGTGAAACGCCAGCAAAAATATGCACAGGCCTCACTCAGACCACCACTGCTGCTGTATAGAATGCGTCTGGCTGGGCCAATACTGGCGTGGTGGGGGCTCTCAAAGAAAATGGTGACAGCAAATGTGTCCAGTGATGGTTAGTTGGTTGTGATGTTTGGCACGTCAAGCGTCGGGGGAAAAAGGTGCAAGGAACCTGGCAATGAGAACATAAATTTTCCACAGCAGCGAAGACACAAAGTACAACAAGCATATCAGAGCAAAGTCGAAAGCGCGTTGACAAGTCGAGATCACACCAAATGAGAATGCAAATGTGCTGAAGTTTCTTGAGAAAGAAAGCTTGACATTGCGTCTCCAATCATCAACAGCTCCGGTGCTCCCTTATGTTGTATCCGGCTATACTTCTTCCCTACTTCCCTATGCTTCATCCTACTTTACTCTGTTCTCTTCTCTCTGTCTGCTCGTCTGCTTGTCCAACGGTACGTCAGAGGCTGATCACATTATGCGTGCTCAGCGCTCATCATCAGTTATGTCTTATTTATTGCTGCCCGCTTCTGTTTTGTGCTCCCAAACACCACTCCCTCCTATGGGACTGCCAGGTGTAGCTATGACTGCTGCGGGCTGAGCCGTTCTACCGCACTGGCCACTTCTCATTCGTTAGAGTGAACTCTCCTTGCTGGTTCTTAAGTGTGGGCTGGCCAGTAACTCGTGCATCGAAGAATAACCCTCAGCATCGGCCTCCCTGCTGAGAAGTTTCTGGACAGCATGAGCCCTTTTCCGTGCCCGACCATTACTTTACTTTCGGCAGTTACATAGCCCGACCTTCACTTAGGGCCGGGTCCTTTTTCTGCATGCGGCCCCTGCTGGGTGCTGCCGAGTCCTAGAGCTTCACATAGGTTCAGGAGCAGTGACGATTGTGAAGAAAGAGGAACCTGTACTCATTGCCTGGCGGGGCCAAAAAAATAAAAATGAGATAATAAAATCAAAATAAATTTGGTAAAGAATTTTGATGTGGACCTGAGGCAAAAGTTGTCCAGTTTATTTTTCTGCGTAACATTTTTTTTTTTCGGATTTTTTGGATTTTTTTTCTTTCTGCAAGGAAGATGAGCATTAGCGAACTTCAGCAATCAAAACAGCATCATACATATGAGCCCAGATAGTCTTGACCTCGAACCACAGCAGACCTGCATTACGAGATTCACCAAATAAGAACACACCAAGAGTTCAAAATTGACAATGCTGAAGTAGTCCCATCATCATCAACTACGAACCAGAGTTGATATCCTATTGGCGCCCGGCGCCCAGACTACATGTGGCAGATCCTATCTAGCCTATACTACGAAGCAGAATGATGACATCAACAGCGTTCCCGAAGTACGAGCATATGGCGACCAATGTCGCACGCTTCAGCACCAGGTATGTCTCTCGTAACACTCACAACCCCGATCCACACCGCACAGATGCCACTAGCACCCCAAGGACCACCCTGYGCTTCACCTAGCATACAGCAGCGYAGCTTGGCTATGGCTGCGTGCTCCCTCCTACTCGCCCGTGAGAGCGTGAGTGCCAGCCAGCCAGCMGATTGCGCAGCAGCGCTCACGCAGCATGCAGCCAGCACCCGAATGCCGAATGAGGAGGCAGGCCCTTCCCTATAYCGAAGTGGCCTGCCTGCGTCCAGTCCAGGAAGCTTCCGGTAGGCCCCGGTAGGCACAGGCCCAGTCACGAAGAGAGCAGGCCTTGGGCCTGAAGTGGTTGCATGCGCYCAACTGCTTTCGGCCTGTGTTTGGCCCGGTACCCGTATCCAGCCCAGGGCCTGCTTCACATTCATTTACACAGGCGGCCCAGGGCCTGGATTCATTCAACCAACTGGGGCAACGCAACTGTCTGAATTTCCCCGATGCGGGGTACCCTGAAGAATGAGGCCCGAAGGGCCTGTTGTGCCTGCCTTCACTTAGGGTGACCGACCTTGTTGCAGATAGGGCCCCGTAGGGGCTAAGCGGGCGTGGCCTCGCATTTCCTGGTCCTTGCCGTCCCGGCCGACCTTATGAAGGTCCTGTTTGAATCAACACCTCAGGCGGGTGCTTTTCATTGTGGTCGTGATAACTGGATATGAAGGAGCAGGTATTGGCTAAGACTACATAGTACCGTACGCTCACTGGATGTTGACAAGTTTAGTCAGTTGCTGTTGGACAAGATGTGCATGATGCTAAACTGCTAAACAATCAAAGCCTGTCAAATCCTCGAAATGGAACCTTGTTAGGGTCCCTTACCCATTTGCAAGGAAAATGAGAGAGAGTGAGATGACAGAATCCAGATGTCACAATCACATTGAAAGCAAGAAAGTCCCATAGTGTCCAGATAAGCAGCATTGCACCAGTATTACACCAATGGAGAATCGAAACACTGAAACCGAATGTCAATGAGAGCTTACTCTCGTCCCCACCAACATACGTATCCAGGCTCTCTCTCCCTACTTGGCGCTCGGTGCCCAGGCTATTCCCAACACAGCTACTTCCTGCCTACAAATTGACAATGGAACTGTTGACGCCAGCAGCCACCGAAGATGTCGACCAATGCAGACCATCTTCAATACCAGGTATGCGCCCTCACATCATCATCCTCATCTCTTTCACTCTCTCCCTATCCCTGTCTTCCTCCCACGTCTTCTCCCTTATGCACGAAGACCACCAGCACCTCCACTGGCTGTCCCAGCCAAGCCCTGGCTATGGCGCTGCCCTCAGCAGCGCCCTGCCTTCTTCCAGCGCCCACGCGAACTGCCTGGCAACTAGTGCTAGCACACAGTGCACAGCCCTCGAGCACACTCTCAAGCAGCGCTGCTGCATGCACTGCCTAGTGCCCGAATGAGCCCACCAGTGGCGATCTCTTTCCTTTATGGAAAGTGCTCGCCCAGTTTGCTGTCTGGCTGGGCCTTGTGTGTTACCAGTAGCTTCCAATTGGGCCAAAGTGTCTGTGCCCAGGCCCATTCAGACAGTGGCCTGGGACCGAATTGGTTAGGAACGTCCAACCACTCAGGAGTAAACATGAGGTTCTCCCTACTTCGCCTGTGCTGCTGGAAGAGCCTAGAAGGCTCAGGAATTATTTCTGATTCTCACGAGTATGGAGGATGTAATCAACTGGCGCATGGCAACTGTCTGGCGCCCTCTTTTACAAAATTGACGAACTCAGGCCATATTGAAATTCAGGGGCCCGCCTTCACTTAGGACGGGCTCATGTTTGCTGAAAGGGTCCTTACTGGGGCATGCCGAGGAGCAAACTCGTAGCAAGGCCTCGTTGAAGATCCATGCCCACATAGGGGTTCCAACAGGCTCTGCTTGGGCCCCTCAGCCTGGTCTCCTAGCCCTATAAACAGGCATTGGCACATATTTGCAGGCCCGCCTTCACTTGCCGAGGTACTAAATCCTCGCACATTGATTATCTGCATCAATTACGAACTGAGCAGACAACAGAATTTGTCGGCCATTGAATGTCACTGTGAGAACTTGTGACCTTAATTTTCTTGTTGCTATGACATGGAAACTGCCACTCCTACCAGCACGGCTATTGCTGTTGGTCGTGGACAGGGTTGTTACCAACATCAAGCTGGTGGTCCTCTTCCTCTTTCCTCCTTTCTCCTCCCTTAACGCTTATTCTTCATCTTCCGGTGGCAGGCTAGCTGTCAGGCTGGATGGACTGGATTTGGAGCTTGGTACAATCAAAACCAGACCTGGAGAGTATCAAAGGAGACTCTGGAAGAGCAGGTTCTCCACCTATACCTCAGCACGTGGGCCCTGTAGCAAAGCTGTGTGCCTCAACATGTGCAGCTGAGGTGCACAGGTTGACTGCATGGGGATGAAACCTTTATGTCGAAGCAGACAGAGCACACCGAATCTCTAACTTATCATCAGGAAGAAGGGAAAACAATCCGGTAGCAGCTAACCCATGTGTGTCTGCCTTGTCTTTGTTATTTTTCTGGCACAGTGTGTGACAAATGCTCATACAGATCTGATTGCAGAAGCATCTGGTGGACTATCATCGCTGGGAGAAGAGCATTATGGACCAGTAGGGGAAAGGTCCAGAACAGAGATGCAGGCCAATTCGAGAGATGAAGAATGCTGCAGCATCACTAAGGCTCGATGCCATGAGCTTGAGAAAGAAGTGGCCGATGCAGAGCAGTATAAGAGGGCCTTGGAGAAGAGAGTTGGAGACTTAGAGAGCAGGGAGAAGGAGCTTGAAGCTGCAATGGCGGACGTTATGTCAAGTGAGTCAGAGTTGAAGGTTTTGCGGGAAAACTTGGAGAATCACCAGCGTACTGCCAATGAAAGGTTGGGTCTGTCACCTAAAACCAGATTATAAATGATTCCCCTCAGAACTCTTGCCAAAGAAAGGTAGGTGATCGTGGAAATAGGTTTGGTGGTAAACATCGGCGATGGGGATGATTCAGGGGCATGCAGCAATTTAAGCTGCTCTGCTTGTGAGAGGGGAGAAGCCGGAAACAAGAGTTGTACCTGAACCTGTTTGACTGCCTGATCTCTGCCTTATCCTTTTGAGGTGCAAGGTTCCCTTCAGCAACGTGGAAGACCTCAGGTTGACGCATTGGCCATTGTTCGTACTGGCTCGGTTCTCGTCTGGTTGAAACATCCATTGGTGTGCTCCTTCCACGCCAATTTAGGTTGCCTTTGTCACACTTTTTTTTTAGTCCATTGGTAAAGGTTCCAAGCACTGACATAGGCATTGGGGGACATAACTCCGGTTCCTATTCCCCCAGCAAGTCTAAAAAACAGTATTACATCATATACCGACTCAGGCACCCTTCCATTTGGCCAAGGGTCCCTGAACAGCATTGATTACTCCACTTGATGGAGGACTGACTGTGCGCTTGCCTTTCCCTGTTATTCCTCTCAGGCTCGACGCTAGAGAACCTGTAGGCTAATCTTTAATACAAGAAAACAGAGATGGAAAACTGCAGTGACACTCGTGCTCATGGACAGGTAGTATGTAGCTGTGTCCTTAGTCGTGTATCTGGATTATGTTGCTCTCAATTCTAGTAACTCTGGATGACATATGCCCCTGGATCCATGGGGCGGACTAGAGTTGTGCCAGTCCCTCCATCTGAGGTGGTGTCCATGGATGCCCGCTATCTGTCCTTCAACCACCCATACCCTCCTGAATTTGACCAGGATCTCTTCCTGCTTCTCAGGGTTCTCCTGCATTTGAATCTTGACTTTCTTCCATTGACAGAGAATCTCCGTCTCCATTCGTTAGGGACACGTTTTAAGCTATTGTTTTGGTATTTTTTTGCCCCACCTCTCCTTTTCAGGTCAAGGCTTGTGTATGTCAAGTTTGGTGTCTGTTGGTGCCTTGGAAGTGACTGCTTTGGCAAGTCCTGATAAAATGTCGGGGGATGTTCTGCCCTAGGGTCTTACTTTTATGCCAGGCTACTAGAGGCGCCCAGCAGCTCGCTCAGCTGTGTGCGCCGCCCAGGGGGATGCAAAGAATCCCGCACTGTTCTTTCCCTTTAGTGGGCGGGATATCTCTGTGCCCACCAAGTTCTTTTCGAGTTTGGGCTCTTCTAAGTGGTTAGCAAAATATTTATAGAGTTGGGGGGTTGGGGAGGAGGGGTGGGTGCTAGAGGAATCATCACCATCATCACCATCATCACCATCATCACCATCATCACCATCATCATTGCATCACAACTCTGGTGGGACCATGCGATGGAGGAATCATCATCATCACCATCACGATGTCGGCCCGAATGCCCTTACAAGGGTATTTGGGCACATTTTTGCAGCTTACAGGAAGAGCGCGCCTGGCGATATCTGCAGGCGCGTCCCATCTGTGTTGATTAGAGGGTATGTGAGCATGCACTTTGTAGGCACGCGTTAGCCTGACCGAGTCTGGGTCGAGGGGGGCCGTGCGACACCGGTAGGACAAGTGAGTGTTCTGAGGCGGTCGCAAACTCACACGCACGGTCGGAATGCAGGACGGTGTGAAGATTGACCAGGTAAGGCGGTGACTGAGAGGGAAGCGTTGTCCAACTTACTGGGAACCGACGGTTCAGGGCCGCGCCGCGTAAAAATTCGCAGTCTTTTGGTTGACCATGCGCTACCGACAGTAGAGGCCGTGGCGGGCCTTAGCCAAGAGGGCGCGGGTCGGAGGCACAGGGAGTAGAAATCGGGGCGGCTTCGGCCCAAAGGTGGTAGAACGGGCAATTCCTTGATGAATGTGAGGGAGCGGGAGAGCCCAGCCATAGCCGCAGCGTGATGCGGCAACGTGCACGGCGAGCCTGGCAAGGTCGTGTCCTCCAAGGTGATACATGGGTGCCCGTGGGTCCTTGGACGCAAGCGGTAAGGTAGAGAAATGGCCTGAAGTACTGTTTGCAGGCCTGGAGGGGCTGCCCTTAAACCTTTATGAGGAGTGCGCTTGTTGTAGCCAGGCTGGGGCTTAGCCCTATAGGTTATGTCATTGGATTACCACCAGGTGGGTCCCGAGATCAAGGCCAGAGCGGAGCAGCGGGGCAGCGGAGCATGTCGAAGGAGAAGGTTGAGGGGTTAAGGGTCCTGCGGGACTATCCCGCTTGGTTTTTGCGGGGGGGTTCCGACCGCGGGCCCGAGAGGTGAGTCCGAGGCCCGGGTACCAACGGGCCTCTCCCGCATCCGGGTTTTACCCCTTTTTTTTATTTTTCTGAGTTTGACTTTTTTTTATATATTCTTTATTTTATTTTTATTTCTTTTCTTTCTTCATTTTCCTATTGTTGCTGTTATCTAAGGAGTTCCTGTACCAGCGCCGGGGCCTGCAGAAAGCCCCACCGGCATCGTTCAGTGGAGACACCCACGAACTGCTGGGCCACTGCTGAGCTACTGCGGGGCTACCGCTATCAGGGAACAGTCCTTCGGGACATCCGTTAAAACTTGGAACGATACAAAGAAGATTAGCATGGCTCCTGCGCAAGGATAGCGAGTATAAAGCCGGGGCACGACCGCCATCGGTGTTTGCTGTGGCACTTGTCGTTGTGTGCCCGTCGGTCTGGTGGATCGTTGGGCGCTGCACTGTAGAGGCAACGGAGGAGAGATACGGAGGACTAGAGGAGGTGAGAGAGGAGTATGGGAGGAGAGGCGCTGAGTACCGAGGCGGAGTGACGGGAGAGAGGGGAGAGGAGGAAAGACGAGCGCCAAATCGGAGTGACGGAGCACTAAGGAAGGAAGTAGGAAGTTAACGAAAGGAGAGGGACTCACTCTCAGCAAGGCGGCATGCAGCGTATGAAGGGGGAGGAGTATCATCGTGTGCACCCGCCCAAGATCCAGCGGCGGATTCATCCTCAGCCTGCCTTCTTGACGAGCACTGGAGGGGGCCAAGAGGGCATTGTGCCCACCTTGGGTGGGAGCCGAATAACCATCGTAGCTTGCACGGTATTCCTATATGAGTGTCGCGGTCCTTATCTTCAAGGCACGGCAGTCTTCGTCCGTTCCCCTGTGGCTATGGCGGCACGGAGCGTGTTTCTGCCCCTGCCCCGGTGCTTTTGACTATCGAAGTAGAGGAGAGGGCATTGTGCCCACCTTGGGTGGGAGCCGAATAACCATCGTAGCCTGCACGGTATTCCTATACGAGTGTCGCGGTCCTTATCTTCAAGGCACGGCAGTCTTCGTCCGTTACCCTGTGGCTATGGCGGCACGGAGCGTGTCTCTGCCCCTGCCCCGGTGCTTTTGACTGTCGAAGTCGAGGGTACGCGCTGGGTGTTTAACCTCCTCGCATTGACGTGGGACAGAACTTACAAGCCGCTTAATGTTTGGTTAGCTATGGGGGGGTAATAGGGAGTAGCTGTGTAAGAGGCATGTTGGGGGAATGAACCTGGGCGTGGGCCCGAGACAGGTTCATTGGGAAACCAATGTTGGGGGTGGCAAGGGCAGAAGCGTGCTTCGACAATGGTGGGGAAGGCATGACTCGGTCATTTTGTAACTGATCCAAGTGGGAGAAGGGCTAGAGGGGACGGTGCTGGTGGCGAGCAGCGCACAGATAAGTGAAGTGCAGCCCGTGGGTCTTTGAGTGGTAGAGAGGCAACGGCACATGAGCACGATTTTCGTGCCAGGTTCATCCAAAGGAAGAGGGAGAGGGCAACGCTAAGGACGAAGGTGAGGGCAACGGAGGTGAGAGGGTGAGAGATAGGAGGAGATAGAAGGAGGATTAGAGAAGAGGGAGGTAGTGCAAGAGAGTGCAGCTCCACGGAAGGAGGAGCAACAGGCAGAGAAAGAAAAAAGAAAAAAAAACAGGGAAGAGTGAACCTGGGCGCGGCTTCGCGCCAGGTGCGTTCGAAAGGGGCGGAGAAGGAAAAAGCTGAAAGTGAGCTAGCTCGCTGGTTCCTGAACGGAATTGAGCGAAACAAAAGTCGAACCTGAAGGATTTGAGCAGGGTGAAACCAATGGTAAAGGCAGATTTGGTGTTGGATGGACGGGCTGAGCAGTATCAGCAGTATGGGCTGCGCTGTTGCTATGGAGTAAAGGCGAGGTTATGTACCTAGCCTCCTTCTCGGGGAAGGTCCATTTCGGGTTGGTGTCTTTAGGCAGTACTCTTCGTTGCTGCTGGCTGGTGCCTATGGCATACTGCGTGGTTGATTCCAGATTCGAGTGATGCAGCGCTGGCTTGGAAGAAGCGGCACTTGAGGAGAGACACACTGTCGTTGAGTGCGGCAAGGCAGCAGGAGCGTTCGGCGTTGGATTCAATATATGCTCTCCTCATTTGCTAACGGTTCGTCTTCGGGACACTAGCGCACATGGTTCTTATTGAGAGGGCTGGTGAACGAATTTTGCCTACGTTGACTAGCGGAGGGAGGATTGAGGTTGAATGAATATGGTCGGTGGTTTGGGCCAGGTGCAGTGGGCTGGAGAACGGAGAAGAAGGCTGGAGTAGGGAGCGTGAAACAGCCGAAAAATTGGATACTTACCTGATAAGTAGTACGCCGCTCGTCCTGTAGGTTGGAGTAGCACGTACTTGGCCCTCGATTTCTACAAGATTCGGAGGGAAGCGGGACGTGGGTTGAGTAATGTCCCGAAAGCGAGGGGAAGAGGCAAACTTACCAGGTGGGGATTTTGTGAAAAGGTGTATCCGCAGGCAGGACGGGAGTGAGAGGGTGGAAACGCATGACTAGAAAGATCGAGAACAGTCGAAGGGAAGGGGAGCAGCAAAAGAAAATATAAAATGAAGTTAATAATAGTTGCAGAAGTGGGCGTGCTTTCAGCTGATCCGTCCGAGGGATCAGATCATTGTTCAGATCAGACTCTTCCCACCTTACTAGTAATGTGTCTACCCCGGTTCTAACAGGAGTTCATCTCCCATGTTGCACATCTGAGGGTCGCGGGCATGACCATTTGCAGATCCTACATGTTCTGATGTCCCTTATAACTGTACCACGCTGCGGAGAGTTAATAAATCGAGCAGCAGGCTGGGAGTTAGGATTTTTCATTAGCAAGAGAGAGAAAACTTACCCCGTCGCTCGGTAGCCATCTGCCCGTCTGACCTTTACGTTGCTTCATAGCAGTCATGCTATTTGAGAAGTTGACATCGTGTTGTCTGTGTTTTTTTTTTTGCCTGCCCCCGCTACGTGACACTATGGATGGGGAGTCTATAGGTAAGCTGTCAAGGATCTGCCGCTGGGCTGTGGTTAGGATCACGGTCAGATGTAGATTGTTACTTCCTGCACAGGCTGGTTGGCCCTTTCAAGGATGGCACTTGTGCTTCGACAGAGTCACTGTTACTTTTGTAGCAGGTGGAGCCGCTGAGTTCGGGGTTGTTCAGCCGTCCTGGGGAAAGTCGGTGGCACTAGTGCTGGATTGTTGTTGGGCTGTGAATTACTAGTGTAACCCATGGCTACCGCCGTGAGTCTATTGCTGCTTTGAGACAACTGTTGCTGTCGTTCGGCTGTCGGTCGCTGCTGCTGTAGGCAGCCTTTTCACAGCATTGCATATGGTCAAACTTATTGCAGCCCTGCAGTGAGGTTGTTTCGGCTCAATGATAAACAGCACGGCGCGTTGCAGTATATAGCTGCAGGTCACAGAGGTGGTCATGGATTGAGCCTTAATACTGTGGCTGGCTGCGGTGCACAGTTGCTGTATACCCTATCACGGACTGCCACCTGTACTCTGAATAAAGCACAGGGTTTCCCTCCGCCGTCTGCTGTGAAGAGTTTGAGTGTGGATGCCCGTACTCGGTGTAGCACTGATGTGCAGGAGCGACGACAGGCAAGGCTCCGAATTAATCCACTTTGCGGGGTACGATTATGGAGTAACTAGTCTTTGCTGCCCCTATAATCCTGAGACTTTGACTACAGTACCTACTGTTATGCCACTGGTGTGCCCTGCTTAAGTGCATCAACTGTGCTTACAAGCGTTATTGATCACTGGCATTGCTAACACTAAGAGCCCGAGGGGCTGTGCTTCAGGGGCACTGTGGCTGAGCTTCTGGGCAGTTGTCGCGGTCTGTCATAGCTACTACTGAGTCGTCGGACTGTGTTGCTAGCATCGTGTCTCGTCAGTAGACTGTTGATACGGATGATCCAGACCTGCTACTACGGAGTCAGTGGAGGTACAGGAGGCGGTGAGCCATGACTGAGGCAGAGCTACTGATCTGCCTAGTCTACGCCTGTGTATGTGCTACGGCCTGAGCGACAACTTTGCATGCTTGGTAACTGAGGGAAAGTCGTCTCTGCTACAAGGGCAACTCCATCTATAGCCACCTTGGAGTTGCCCCCACGAATATGGAGTTTGCAGTCGGACTGTAACAGTTACCGTCGCCTTGATTCCTTCTTTTATACTGTCATCGTCTGTGCTGCTGCTGGGCAGCACGGTGCCCTCCGCTGTGTACCACTGCTGCGTGTGTCATAGGCTGCTGGTACGGTGGTGGTATGGCAACTATTCTTTGGAAGGCTGCAGCTGCAGCAGGGTTATATGACGGTACGGAAGTGGCTTTGGTTGTTGTTGCGGCGACCCCGCGAGGGTGTTACGCCTATTATCGTCGAGAGTGGGCTGTGGTTGCTGAGGGTAGTCAGTGTTGCATACTGATGTCAACCGCTGTCACTGTTAACTAGGCCACGTGTCGCTGCGAGCTGCTGCAAACGCCTGCTGTGGCAGACTGCTGTTGCTTGAGGTAGCGAGCCGCGGTCTTCGGTTGATCACCGCATGCTGTTGCGCGCCGCTACCGCTTGGTGTCGATGGTCTCGGGCTGCTAGGCGGCCGGGGTTGGAGGAGTGAGCGTTGGGGGAGGTGACCAGGCGGGACGAGTAGGGGGTTGGTGCTGCGCGTCGGGAGTTCATCAGGAGGGGCTACTTCGGCAGTTGAGCTCGTTGACCAAGCTGTCAGTTGGCTGCCATTGCGGAGCCCTCAAACGTATCAAGACAACGAGGCCCTCTCCAGTGAGCCTGAGTTGACCCCCTCTTATACCTGAGAGTCTACTCAGTCTGCTTCTATCCTTCTTACTCTCAGTCTAGTCTAAAGTTACGAGAGGAAGGTGGCAGGCGGGATTGCAACCCGTAGGTCCGCGCCAAGGCCTCTGTGGGAGGTCGCCCCATCGATTGCGGGAGCTCTGTCGGAGCCCAGGCGGGGTTCTGGAGGTAGGGAACTTCAGGTA